GCTCCTTGGGGGAGTGTCACCTGCTGAGCATCTATGGGGAGAAGAACTGACTTGTCCCAATTTAGTACGAATCCTGAATGGATGCAAATGTAGAAATAGTAGACAGAGAAGAAAGGGATCCATCCGTATCTCTCAAAAAAAGAGTAAGGCATAATCAGCGTAGAGAGCTAATTTATCTGGCTAAATTGTCACTGACCCCTGCTGGTCTACACTAATGATCAACAACCAATCATTGTGGATCCTGACCATGTGATTACCATGACCACCAATTAGGTTTGTTTATAGGTGTCTTGCAAATTAAAAAATATATATATTTAACATTTTTGAACACGTGTCAGCTTATAATAACAACACAAGGAAGGTATTTTAAAAAAAAAACAAATAAAAGCCTTAAAATTTAAAAATAAAAAATGTCAGGTAGGCAATTTAGCTGTAGTGTTAAGCTGGGTATAGACGACTTTTTTTTTTACGATCTGCTAGCAAGCAGAACAAAAAAACTAATTATTTTCTTCATTGGCACAAGCAAGGTGAATGGAGGAATCTCCCCCTACAGGACATTATATTTTGACAGTGGGACTCTCTGCTGTCAGAATACACTGATCAGCGATTGCAGCCGCATGGCTGCAGCTGCTGATCGAGAAAAAATTTCCAACATTCCTGTTCTACAGAAGTCTATATAATTTTCTCCTTATTATTATTGGTATCTCACACTTTTAATTAGGAGGAAGTTTTATATTGCTGACAAACAATACTGGGCAAGGCAGGGTGTTTAAGGTTTGAAGCAGATCTCCTGTCAAATTTTTTTATTTTCTAATGCAGTGGGGTTGTGCTACTCGTTAACTACTTGTTTTGTTCAGGGGCTCAGGGAAAAGATGTACTTACCCTCCTCCGATCCTCTGGTACTTCTATAGTGCCATCAATCTATGCAGTGCTTTACATATATATTGTACATTTACATCAGTCCCTAACCCTCAAGGGGCATACAATCTAATGTCCCTAACTTACATTCATACATATACTAGGGCCAATTTAGACAGGAACCAATTAACATACCAGCATGTCTTTGGAGTGTGGGAGGAGGAAACACATGCAGGCACAGGGAGAACATGCAAACTCCAGGCAGGAGGTGCCATGGCTGGGATTTGAACCAATGACCCTAGTACTGCCAGGTGGAAGTGCTAACCATTTAGCCACTTTGCTGCCCCAGATGTATTAATGTAGTTAAAGATGTATTAATAATTACAGAGCTGTATCAGGGCCCATTCTCACATGCATTGGTATGATGCCATGTCATTCATTCTGAATTGCATCCCAGAGCAATTTTCCAAAGGACGTGTATTGCAGAGCAACACAATGCATTAACATGGAGCGATGCTCTTTTGGTGCATTCATTTGGAAAGGGGCTGCCTTAATGCAACGCACTTTGAAGCAAAGCATAATGCACGTCAACGCTCTGAGATGGGGCGAACAGGACTCAGTGCTGCATCTTTTATATTTCTCCAGAATTCAGCTTTAAAGAAATCCAGGACTTTTCCAAGCTGCGTGAACCAGAACAGTATACAGAGCTAATAAAGAGGTAGATGCAATTCAAAGCAGAAGATGACAGTGAATGCCATTTCAAATGAAGTCATTTCTTGATAATCTGTTGAGAAAAGGCACTGCGCCATTGGGAAAGAGAGAAAGTTAGGGAGAGTGTAGCCTGGAGCTTGCTTACAATGATATAACACATCCCAGATGACTTTCTTGTGGTGTGAAAATAACAGCTTTGGCTCTCACATGTGCTGCAGTGTGCTGCAGAAAACCCCTGGGTCTCCTTTCTGCTGCTCCCAGGCACAGCAGCTGCATCTCACTAAGAGAAAATGTTTGTATCAGCGAGACGTCAGTATAACCATTTACACTTCCTCTGATGCTGGCACTGCAGAGAGCAAAGTAAAAACACCCAGCTGAAGAAAGAAATGAAAGGAATGCACAATAAATCAGTGCTGGGATAGAGAACAACTACTATATGTAGATATTATTTAAATTGTGTAATCACCCCAGCTGTAACTGTATTGTCCATTGGTAAAAAGATCTGCTTTCTAGGAAGCGGCAACATGACAGTTAGGACTCCTTTACACTTGTATTTGTAGGCAGGTGCCTACCATATGTTTTTGTTTTCCCATATGGAAGAAAAATATATTTGAAATATATATTAAAAATATTCTTCCCAAATATATTGCCATATATTTGAAATGCTACAATTTTGGCCATATTCAATATATATATATATACACATACATACATACACACTGTATATATACTGCATGTTGAAATGTGTTTTTATTACAAAATATATGAAAAATATTTTTAAAAATACATTCCAGATATACTATATGTCTTTAAACATACAAATCTACATTTTTGGAATGCATTTTAAAAATATATGTAAAAATATTTGTTAAAATAAAACTATTTCATATGTTAAAAAAATCTGAAGAATATATTTAAAAACAATATATTTAAAAAAAATAAGTCATGTTTTGTAATAAAAACGCATTATATATATATATATATATATATATATATAGTGGGAACTGGCTTCAAAGTGGTAGAGCTTTTAAATGCACACAGCAACTCGCTTTTTTTTCAAGGCCTTCTTTAGCCCACTTTTATTTAAATGAAAGTTCAAAACAGAAGTTTCCCACACAGGGGTATCGATCATCCACAAAACAACAGTTCAGCCTCCTGGCTTATACTCAGCTTGCTGTCTGTCTCCTGCAGACTTCTTCCCAAAAATATGGCACTTGCACACCGCTGGCCACTGGCACACCGCTAGTCTCTAGCAGCCCCTTGCTGCTTTTGGCTTCCACCTCTCCTAGGTGAAGCCCACCTGACTTCCAGGCAGTGACCTCCCGTCTTCCAAGTGGAGCCCTCCTAACTGCCGGGGTGGAGCCCAGAACTCTGATCCTGACTCTCTGAAAAGGCCTGCACACACCTGTGCAATCAGTCTCCTGGCCATTCCCAAAACCTGGTCCCAGGATTGGAGATTTCATCCCTCCCAGATCTCTTTGAAATCTCCAGGCTCCAGATCCCAAAACAGACCTTACAAACAAAGGAGGAAAGTGAAAAGTGATCCCCCCCTCCTTGCTGCAGTGAGTCGGAGATCTCTCTGTACTTGCTGCCACAATTCAAAGAAAGCATGACGGAGCGGGGCTCGGCCCACATGGCAGCATCATTGATTCACAGATCCCTGTGAATCAATGAACTACAAGTATCCAACAGCCTTTATGGCTATGTTGTTCTCAATGAACTACGAGGGCGCTGTTGAGTTCTGCGGTAGTTCATTAATTCTTCCTGTCAATATAAAATTGCCTTCCCATATGATGTATGGGCAGACAGATTACACTGACAGTCTACAGCAGACATGCAAGACACCAGCAATCTGCTGAGCGCTGGTGCAATGTTTTCGAGGATCCTAAAAAAAGAATAGTGAATGTACATTTTTTACTGTTAAAAAAATGTGCATTTACTACTTTTTGTTAAAAGGCGAACTTATCCTTTAAAAGTCCCATATTTACAGCTTGCAGTGCGTGAGTGTGATGGTCAGTGTGAAGAATGCTTCTTACATTGATGGCCATTGGGAAGAGCCCTCCCTTACAGATAGCTAAAAAGATCATTGGTGTCAGTGGTTACTCTTCTGTGAGGCAGAAATTTCTTGAGGAATCTCTAGGAACTTCTGGAGGAACCCTAGGGTTCCAAGGAATACTGGCTGAGGAAACCTGATCTACAGTGTTCTGATCTATGTATGTTTGCATTTTCAAGGGATGTGGTGCCTATGTTGGCCTTCAATTTGCTTTCATTTTTTGCACTAATTCCTAAAAGAAATTTTTTTTCATGAAAATCTACTAGTGTATAACCAGATCAATGGACAGCATGTCCCTTCAAGAAAAGAAATGACATGAATATTACTTTATAATCTGAGAATCATGTCATACATTATCAGTGATACACACATTTAGAGGTGGGCTTTTCTTTCTAGGCGTTATTATATCTGATAGAAAACCCCTTGGCCATCCCATTTTTTCCTCTCTCAGCAGTTGGAATGGCATACAATACAGGTATCAGACGTGTGCAATCCAATACATCCTTTTTGTTCGCTCCTGCAAACCTTTACAAAATGTCAAATGATAGTATTAAAACCATCTGCATTTTCATTCTTGGTGCTGTGCTGCATGAAATGATTTGGAAGCAAGTAATTATAAAACCTCCCCTGAAATAGCAGGTGTTGAAACTTTTTTTTTCTTTTAATTATGTAGGAGGAAAAAATATGTCCAGATTTACACATATGGTGCAATTAAGACTAAATGCTGCAACAAAGTTAGCAGGTAGCTGTCATTAAATAATTTATGAAGGGTTCTGTATATATTATTTTTTATTTGTAGAAAACAGTTACCATACAGACGGAACTGTAGATCGTGTTGCTATGATGTAGATGTGAGATTTTTCCCTCTCACCCACTCCCCAACTGCTGCTCAATACATTGATATCTTCTACTTGTTTCTTTGAGATTGTGCACATTTCACTGAGGTATGATATAGCGCTATCTATATATTTTCAATGAACCCTATAAAAGCAGAACAAGCCTTGTCTCTGTAATGTTAGACTTTTCACCTGAACACATTGGAAGTAACCATTTAATGTATCCATAATGGAAAAAGTAGCATGATAGTTCAGGCCAGATTTGTTTCTCAGCTAAGTAACTTGGCAACTGTAAGGTGTGATTCATTATATCAGTCTGCCAGTAATGCAACAGCCAAAAGCTGACCAATATTGCTGAAGAAGGAAGAAAGCATAAAGCAGCAAAATACAAAAAAAAAATCTGAATTATTATTTAACCACCTTCCGTCCGCCCTATAGTACAATGATGGGTGCAAGGTGGTTCTCTCGTTCCGATAGGACGTCATATGACGTCCTACCATTCTCACTCCACATGCACGGCTCAGGGAGCGCGCAGCGCGGCGATCGCCGGTCTGCTGTGTCCCTCGGACACAGCGGATCACGGAAAGAGCCGAAGATGTCGCCTCGGTCATGTGATCAGCTGTGTCCAATCACAGCTGATCACATGTAAACACGGAAATGCCGGTTATTGGCATTTCTCTCCTCTCGAGCTGTCACGCTGACAGCTTGAGAGGAGAGGAGAGCCGGTAATCGGCTTTCCGCAGAGGGTACATGTACACTGATCATCAGGGCACTGATGATCAGTGTGCCCTGATGATCAGTGTGGCCCCAGAAGTGCCACCTGTCAGTGCTCATCAGTGCCAGTGCCCTTCAGTGCCACATGCCAGTGCCCATCAGTGCCACATCAGTGCCACATATCAGTGCATACCAGTGCACATCAATGCCACATATCAGTACATACCAGTGCACATCAATGCCACATATCATTGCCCATCTGAGCTGCCTTTCAATGTCACCCATCAGTGCCAGTCAGTGCCACCTATCAATGCCAATCAGTGCCACCTATCAGTGCTGCCAATCAGTGCCACCTTTCAGTGCCAGTCAGTGTCGCCTGTCAGTGCCAGTCAGTGCCACCTAACAGTGCCAGTCAGTGCTGCCTAACAGTGCCAGTCAGTGCTGCCTATCAGTGCCGCCTATCAGTGCCATATATCAGTGTCATGTATCAGTGTCATGTATCAGTGCTGCCTTTCAGTGCCCATCAGTGATGCCTGCCAATGCCCATCAGTGCAACCTACCAATGCCTCCTCATCAGTGCTCATCAGTGCCATCTATCAGTGTCCATCAGTGCAGCCTATCAGTGCCCATCAGTGCAGCCTCATTAGCGCACATCAATGAAGGAGAAAAATCACTTATTTACAAAATTGTATAACAAAAACTAAGAAAAAACTTTTTTTTTTAAACTTTTCAGTGGTTTTTGGTTTGTTTAAGAAAAAATAAAAATCCCAGAGGTGTTTAAATACCACCAAAAGAAAGCTCTGTCTGTCTCAAAAAAATGATAAAAATTTCATATGGGTACAATGTTGCATGACCACGCAATTGTCATTCAAAGTGTGACAGTGCTGAAAGCTGGAAATTGGCCTGGGCAGGAAGGGGGTATAAGTGCCCTGTAGGCTAATGGTTAAAGCTGAAGTTTAGTTAAAAAAAAAAAAAAAATTCACTGCAGCTTTAAATACATTGTTGACTTGAAGTATGTCCCATAATGTACAAGATGCTGGATTTTGTAGAAATCTTCCCTGGAGGGCTGCCCTGTCCTCTTCCTACTGCTCAACCTCTGTGTGGGCTTTAACAGCTTTGGGTCTCTGGGCTCAGCTGCACTAAAGATGATCCCGTGGGAACACACCCCTCCTGCCCCTGTTCCATTGAGAAAAGATCTTTCTTTGATTAGATTGCCTGTAACATGATCTGTGACAAAGGGAAAACTAGGACAGGATCCCTTCTTACCATTCGATATATATGAGAGACTTCCTCGCCTAAATACCAATTAATCACTTGTTACAGGAGGGACATCTCAGCACCAGGCCTATCACATCTATTACTCTGTGAATGGGGGAGAGTCTGATCAGTCACAGGATTCTCTCCTCCATTCACAGATTGTGTTACAGACAGTGTAATCAGCAAAAGACCTATCACAGAACCGAATGTTCAACAGCAGGAAGAGGACAGGGCAGCCCTGCAGTGAAAATTTCTACGGAATCCAATGGCTTGCACATCATGGACATGCTTCATTACAAATAAGTAATGTAACTAAAGCTGTAGAGAACAAAAAATGTTTTTAACTGAACTTCAGCTTTACAGTGTTACTAAACCCATAACAGTAAAATCATTCTGTATATGCAGTAAAGCATGCTTGTTATACTCACTGTGGAACCTAAGGGGTTAATCCTCTGCATTGTGTAAAAAGGTTATATGATCATGACTTCTCTGATCCTCTCTTCCTTTGCTGTCCCCAATTCATCTGCCATAATTAGAGCAGCAGTGGCAAGTCTGCACATGCTCTGTTTGGTGTATATTGGTTGAATTTTTTTTTTTTTTTGGGGGGGGGGGGGGGTACATGTTATCAGCACAGAGCCAATCAGTGCTCTCCAGACAGAGGGTCAGGGGTCATGCAGCCTCATAGGACAGTCAGAGGAGAACGAAAACTCCTACAAGACTAACCAGTGCATGGCTGGACACTGATCACTGGTCACAAGACTGCTATATATTGCTGATAAGAAAAGGTATTCAATAGTTTACATTTATTAAAATAATTGCATTTCCATTTTCTGTGTACTGGTTTAGTAACACTTTAAGTATTATGATTGTTCTTTTGCAAGCAACTATATATAGACTTTTTTCTAAGAAACAGAATTGAAATCAATCTGTACTTTGCCGGAGTAATGTAAGACCATGGGTTCACTTAAGGTAGACCTTCCCCCCCCCCCTTTCACTAAAAGTCACAGCTCTGCATGCTGATATGAAATCATCTTACTTTCATTAGTTAAACAAACATTTTTTGATTTGATCTATAAATACTGCTTTTCCACTTCCTGGTTTCTTTAAGGGACTGGTGATGTCACCCTGGCCTTACAGCTACATCCTAAGGAGTTCCTGCCACATGTTCCAGGAGGAAGACCCAGAGTTCTAGGCTGAATTTCAGGAAGTAAATGGATTCTATAAAAATGACCACAATAAGAATAATGGGAAGGAAAAAGAAAAATAAGGTATGCAAAGAAAAAAAAGGCTGCAATTATGTATGTGTTTTGTAGGTTGCCGTTCCTAAACATTTTTAAAGATGCCATTGTTGTAATTTTCATGAAAAGGTGGAAATCCTTCTTTAACTATTCCTCTCACAGATACAGTGCCTTGAAAAATTTTTTTTCGTACCTTGAAATTAAACTTCACCACAACTTCATCCCGGACCTGTCTGATGTGTTCCTTGGCCTTCATGATGCTGTTTGCTCACTAATGTTCTCTAACAAACCCCGAGGGCTTCACAGAACAGCTGTATTTATACTGAGATTAAATTACACACCTTTGGACTCTATACTTACTAATTAAGTGACCTGAAGGCAATTGGTTCCACTAGATTTTAGTTAGGGGTATCAGGGTAAAGGGGGCTGAGTACAAATGCATGCCACACTTTTCAGATATTTATTTCTAAAAAAAATTAGCAAACTATTTATCATTTTCCTTCCACTTCACAATTCTGTGCCACTTTGTGTTGGTCTATCACATAAATCCCAATAAAATACATTTACGTTTTGGGTTGTAACTTGACAAAATGTGGAAAATTTCAAGGGGTATGAATACTTTTTCAAGGCAGTGTACAAATATCCACCTTTCATTCACTTCAACTTCAGTTAATTGTTTTATCACAGTCACGTGATAGTTTACGTTTTTGGGGTTTTATTCGAGACGTGCAAAGAGAGATCACAAAAACACTTTTAGGTACAACATTTAATTAAGTAATGACAGATACAGATAACAAATGTAATAATATTAGGGGATAAGCCATGAATACTTTGCTAAAGATGTCTTTTCTTCATGGAGTCCTGCCCGCTTTCACGGCGTGGCAAAGATGATCAGAATCAGGCATATGCATTTAAGCAGCACTGACAAAAGACTATTCCAAGTTTTAGCTGTATAAGTAAATGATCGACTCCCTTGAGAGCAACATGACCTTTTAAGGACTTGGTCAGTTTGTAAAGATATTCCTTTGGTATGAAGTCAACTAAGGTAACCACGCTTTGGAGGCTTTGTTAGATATTGTGAGACAACATTATTAAGAAAATGTCCCCATCAGTTAATTCAGCCAACAGGAGTGGAGTGGCCAGTCTAAGCTCCTAGTCATGAATGGAAGCTCATAGGGCTGAGGACTCTCCTTGCCTCAATATGACAGTGCAGAGTGCTTGGCAATCACAAGCGCCAACAATGTCACACTGAAGGAAAGGGAATAAGTCACTTGCTCTGATAACCAATTACTGGGTGTTTATCTGTGACTATGGCATTGAGTGGTGTGGCAGAGGAATGAAGGAAAGAGGAGTGTGAGCAGTTGTAAAGGACAGCAGTGAACTTGTTACTTTATCCTACATGGACAAAACACGGTATCTTTAAAGAATATGGAAACCCAACATTTCATATTCCTGATATGTGCATGCTGTACCATGTATTTGTATGAAAAATATCCTGTTCTCTCTGTATTGCTTCATTTGTGTGAAATCTCTGGTGATCCTGCCAGTCACACTGCTTGCCTATTTAAAAACTGACCACACTAGGCATGAGAGTACGGAGTGGTCAGTTTTCTTGTTGTGCTGGGAGTTAATCCAATGATCAGACTTGTCCTGACACCCCTCGCCTCCGCACAGCAGTTCACTGGGAAGTTCAGTGTGTTGCTGTTTCTCCTCCCCAGCTCTTTTGAAGCTCAGAACTTGTAATCACTTAAAAAAAGGGGGAGACAGTTATTGATAATGTTTTTTTTTATATCTGTACACATATGTTTTGCCTTTCATTTCTATTTTAAATGGAATGGGTAGTTTTACAAGGTGAGGGTTTTTCCTCACATATACTATAAGATGCTGGTGGCGCAGTTAATGTACCTAAGGTCCCGTTCTAACCGTTGCCCGAGTAACACTAACGAGTGCCGACAAACAAAGAGGCTCATAAAAAATATAATCAAGCGCAGAAAAACAACATTGGTATTATACTGTTTATCAAAACTAAATCAGCAAAAAATTACAATAAAAATACTCAACAATACTAGTGAACAAGTAATATAGACCTGGATGGTCTTGAGAGAAAAAGATATATATATATGACGTGGTCAATAAATAGGAATGTTATAAGGATAACTAAAGATAATATACTAAAGATATTCTTGTCCATATTAACTTGTGTGAAACATACAAGTATGGTTTATAAGGAGTTATTTAAAAAATAATTAGAAAAAAGTGTGGCTACATTATAGAGGAACATGGTCATTATCTCTCCTGATAAATGCTTTCAGAGTGTAAGAGATATTATATACCATCTGTATATGGTATATATATATATATAATTTGGAGAGCATATGTGTATGCAATGAAGTGGATGTAAATGTTTGTAGATGAAAGGTAAGGGGGGGGGGGTCTCATGAAAATTAGATTGTCAAGAATTTCTTTAACTTGTCCAAGACAAGTTGGGAAAAGGGGAAAAAGAATTGTATGTATAATATGTAATAAATGATATATGGGTATAAAATAAGTCAAGAACGAGAAAAAAAATATATATATGGGTAGTCATATGATAATACTGATTTCTAATTCTTCATTTAGGCCCCCAGGAACCAGTGTTCCTAAAGAATATATATCCAATAAGTCTCTCTGTCACAAAAATGTTCAGCAGTGGCAAGGTTGGAAGATATGGATTCAATAATCCATACAGGGGCGGACTGACAACTCATGGGGCCCCCGGGCAATAGGGGATCATGGGGCCCTTGTGTACTCAAAAAAGCCTATGAAAAAGGTACCAGG